GTGTGTGTGTGTGTGTGTGTGTGTGAGAGAGAGAGAGAGAGAGAGAGAGAGAGAGAGAGAGAGAGAGAGAGTTCAGCTAGGGAGGAAGGGAGGGAGAGAGGGTGCACTTCGCCAAGCCGCGCGAACTCACCTTTTTTTTTTCGGGCACAGTGTGAATGGAACTCTCCACGTCTTCACGCACAACAATGCTGTGTGTGTGTGCGAGCGTGTGTGTTTCGTATGTGTGTGTGTGTGTGTGTGTGTGTGTGTGTGCGTGCGTGCGTGCGTGAGTGGGTGAGTGGGTGAGTGGGTGAGTGTGTGTGAGTGTGTGCGCGCGCGTGTTTCGTGTGTGCGTGCGTGAGTGGGTGTGTGTTGGGGGGGGGGGGGGGGGGAGGGGGGGGGGGGGGGGGGGAGCAGGTGTGAGAGAGAGAGAGAGAGAGAGAGAGAGAGAGAGAGAGAGAGAGAGAGAGAGAGAGAGAGGGAGGGAGAGGCAGGCCGGTGTGCACGCAGCTCGTACTCTGCCGCGCCTGGCTATTTCGTTCTGCGTAGCTGTGAGGAGAACCTGGGCTGCGCGGAAATACGTGCGCCCTCTGAAGCGGACGCTTGGTCTGGGTGCTGTCAAGAACGGATAATGCTGACGGCGCTGGTTTCGTTTCTTTTTTTTTTCTTTTCTTTTTTTTTTTTTTGGACTGGTTTCGTTTCTGGGCAGCGCCAAGCCCAAGCCCAGTGTAGAGTGCATGGGCCTAGGTCCACCAAACAACATTCTCAATGTATCTGGTGCACGAAAGTGTCCCGGTACATTTAAAATGTTAGGTCAGTCTAGTCCAAATGCCTCTAGATTGAGACGCAATCCCGAAAAGGGTATAAGCAGAATGCCCCGAAAAGTTGGGGTATTTTGTAATATACCCCTAAAAAACAGGGGTATCCAGAAAGGTCCCTCAATTCCCATTTCTGGATTTATGCGTGTCATCCTTGCGCAGGGGCCATGCTAATCCTCTCTGTATCTAGGAGGAGGTGGAGCCGACAGGACAAGGGGGAGGTGATGGGAGAGAGCAAGTTCCAGGAGATTACTGATTGGAAGAAGAAAGAGTAAGGGAGATGATTAGGAAGGAATCCTCCCAACGGATATAGATCCAAGGGAGATGGAAGTGACGGGCCGAGAAGTAAAATTTGTACTAAATACCTCTCTCGATGAAATTAAAGTTAAATGGCTTAAGGAACGGACAGTCACTGTCATTTTTCGGGACGGAACTCATTTTTTACCGAAAAAAGTCAAAGAAGACGCGGTGAGGGCATACGAGGATGTCTGGATTCGGGATGAGGTATTTGGACACGATTTCAAGAGGGGTCGAATTAAAGTGGAGAGCCCCAATGTTATCTCCTACGTTCCAAGAGCTCAAGCAATCTCCGATTGGATGTTAAGGAAGAAGTCAGATGCTATCGACCTTGCAGGGACCACGTATCAAACAAATTTCAAACCATGGCTGACAAGAGCAAAGATTCGAGATTGGAGACAGTTGGTCGACTAGAGCACCTTCTGGGTTTTAGCTGTGGGAATACCTCTCGATGAAATGCCTTTCATCCACGTCCACGTGGAGAAGGCGATTGGCAAGATTGTGAAGCAACATAAACCGGAGGTTGACGACACTGACCCGAAGCTGGTAAACCTGCGATTCGATATCGATCCGGCCTGCAAGATAAATATGAAGGACAAGATCAGGGTGCAAACCTTTCAAGGAGATGTGTTGGAGATAAAACTCGCGAGTGCTGATTCGGAATGGTGTAAGCGATGTCGTACCTTCTTTCACACCGAGTCCACCTGCAGACGTGCAGGAAGGAGGCCGGATCAAGGCGCTTCGAGCTCCAATCAAACTCAATCTGCGGCCAAGCGGAACCAACAACATCAAGGGTACAATGGGCCGTTAGCGGCCCCAGGGGCGTCAGCCCAATAGGCAGGTCCAGCAGCACCAGCGGATGCTACGGAAGGTATGGCAGTGAGGATGAACCCCGCCTTCTCCCCGGGAGTTCATGCGGAACATCCCGCAACAGGTACTAGTTATGGACACCATACCGGGATCCGTCAGGATCTTGCCTTGGATGTTGCATGGGCAGCCTTTTTAAGGAATCTGCCATCGTATCCCTATGTGGCTCAGCAATTTGGTATGCTTTCTCCTCAGCAACAACTTGGGGTAAGCTCATCGGTTGCTAACCTACACAGTTTTGTCCCCTGGCAACCGTTAGGACAACCAGGTGGTGGAACCCTACCGGGCCCCTCGGATGGGATGCTCCAACAACCGAGATATGTCCACCCCGGGGGTTTCACCCCCGGAGGTAGTGGTAGTCATATTCGAGGGGAATCCCCTGGGAAACAACGAAGACTCGGTGACGGTGAAAATTATATTCGGATTGATAACCTTCATACAGAAGATTCTGGAAGCTCGAATGGCTCCCAATCACGTTCAGCAACAACAGGTAAGCGAAAACCCCTCACGCTTTCGAATGGATGCTCTCTCGAAAGGTCAATCGGTGTTGGATTCGAAGTTTATCCCAATTATGTGTACTGCAGCCCGAGATGCTCTTTGAGTCATTGCTTGGATGGGTATGGATGGACTCTTATATTTTCTGAATTCGAGTTGTCTAGAATCCCCGGTGCCACATACTTTGGAAAACCTGGCACGTATGATGTTCCAAAATAAATTTACCTTTCGTTTTATTGAAATGTTGATGCTTAGGTTTTTGGTGGAAGTTGAGGGCAAACGAGCCCGATACTACACCCCCCTGTTCAATGCACGCTTTCTGCTGGGTCAGTTAGAACAGCTAGAGAACGAAGGTTTGAGGTTGACTCCGTTGTCTTGGTTTATAAATGGTAGGAAGCCGGATCTGCACCGCATAAAGGTAGCTCCGACGGTGATGGCCGATTTCTTGTCAGAATTAAATTCGAAATTTGGCAAAGGAAAGAAGTTGGATTCCCCTTTTATAAAGCGGGCCCTAACTGAACCATGGTTGTCCGAGGATCCTACCATAGCGTCCCAGATCCAATCAACGGGTGATTCTGCCCTAAACGAGCAGACTTAGGTTGGCTACGTGGAACGTTCGCGGGTTGGAGGACACGGATGGCAGGAACAAGAAAGGTTGGCTCAAGAGCTGGAACCATGAGAATCGAATTGATATCGCCTATATTCAGGAGAGCAAACTTTCAGAGTTTAAAATCACCGAGCTAGGGTCCTGGACGACAAATTTGGTCCCCCGCCAGCGGTTCGAGAGGAGGAGTGGTTGTACTTGTGCATAGGAATTTGAATGTGGAGATAATTGATTTTTGTGCTGATTTATGGGGGCGATGGGTTTGGATTAAGCTTTGGATCGATGGGCAGGAATGGGTCATGGCTTCGATATATGCTCCAAATGATATCAATGAACGCTGCCTCTTCTTCGATGATCTCCCATTATTTGTTCGCTAACTTGGTTATTGTAGGTGATTGGAATACTGCGCTAGACAGGCAAGAGGGAGTGCGTGGCTTGCAGGATGTGAAAGTTCTCTCACAGTTTATGACAGATCTAAAGCTGATCGAACCATGCCCCATCCTCCAGCCAGGCAAGCCTGGGTTTACCTGGTTTTCTAATATAAGGGAAGGGAGGGGCACAGTCCGTAGAAGATTGGATTCTTTTTGCTCTCACCAGATGTTTGGCATCCCACCGTACGTATTGATGAAGCCTTCAACCCTGTCTCTGACCACAAGCCGGTAGTGGCGGACTTTAATTCTCAGAGATTGATTAGAGGACCGGGGTATTTCAGAGTTAATACTCAGATATTGGTTGTCCCCGGGGTGGCTGATTGGATGATACGATTCTGGAAAGGGTGGAAGTTGAACCAAAAATCTTTTGATTCGAAAGAGGCTTGGTGGGATGATGACTCCATAATCTTTTCCAAACATCTTAGTTTGTTCTCACGCATATTTACAGCGGGGAGGAAGAACAAAGAAAGGGAGTTGATCCGGAAGATCGAATATGCAGAATCACGAATGAATGAACACCCCATCTCTAACCTTGTATAGAGCACAATTAGGGAAGCATATATGGCTGAATGGGATGCCTTATTAACAGGAACAGTCGGATATTTAGGTTGAGCGTTTAAAAGTCAAAGGGGTTGCTGTTTACGATCGTATGTCTAGGGAAACCTTTCAAAGACTGTTACCAAAATGCCTTTCGCACTTAAACATTACTTCTGACACAATGGACAAAATCATACCATAACGAAGTCCCACTTGAACCACTGATATATGATATCCTTTCGATCAGGAACTGCCTTCTGCACGGGATCAATCCCAACTTTGCTCCTATGCCGCATTATACTATCAAAATATTCTAACTACCAGGCGGCCGAACGAGGACTTGACTCTGGATCTATCTGAAAATTTCACGCACTGGCAACACTTTACCGTAAAGTTTTCCTTACAAGAAAAGTTAGACATGGATCGACCAATCACTACAGAGGAAGCAGAGACTGCCCTTCGCTCGATGGCGAAAGGCAAAGCCCCTGACGATGATGGCCTACCTGTGAAAGTCTATCTAATCATTTGGGATATGATTAAATATGAGTTAGTGGAGATCTATAATCAGGTGTTGATAAGGGGAAATCTTTCGAAAGGAATGAGAAACGAGATTATATCTTTGCTATACAAGAAGGGATATCATAGTAGGTATGAAATCAGGAATTGGCGTCCAATCTCAGTCCTTAACGTGTCATATAAGTTCTAGCAAAGGTATTGGCCAGGCGGTTGGACAAGTGTCTCCCCTCCCTGATCGCACAGGATCAAGCAGCCTTTGTATAAGGCCGCTCAATATTTGACAATATAGTTACAGAAATTGAAGCCATGAAACTTGTAGAAAACACCCAAACAAACTTTTTCATTCTGATGTTAGATCTTAAAAAAGCATATGATAGAGTTAACTAGACATATGTCCTGACTACTCTATGACATATCGGATTTGGTGATAATTTGTGCAACTGGGTGGTAGCTCTCTATTCGCTATTTACGACTGTTGTTATGGTAAACGGGAATCTCTCTGATTCCTTTGCGCTTACTCGCTCACTCCGCCAAGGATGTCTCTTGGCCCCACTACTCTTCATGATTCAGATGGAAAATCTTATGTGTAATATAAGATCTAATCCAATGATTAAGGGGCTTAATGAATGTCCTGATCAATGTAAAGTTAAACCCCTGGTCGATGACTTATTCGCGGTCTCAGAGAACTCGACGAGCTCTATGAATGCTTTGAAACAATGCCTCGATGAATATTCAGTACTCTCAGAAGCCTCAGTGTATTGGAATAAATCCGTTTATTTTCTCCCTAACAGGTTCTCTCCGGTGGTTAACTGGGGTATGAAAAGAATCGAGGCAGGCGACTCAGAGAGGTTTTTAGGGGTTCAAGTGGCACTCCTTTCATGTACTGTCGATCAGGAAGGCATTGTTTTGCAATGCTTGTTACACAGAGCTGCTACGTGGGGTAAAGCTTCTCACCTGTCAATCTACGGTAGAGTTTTGGTGTTAAACAATGCCCTCTTCGCACTGTTGTGGTTTGTGGCTGCAGTCAGACTACTCGGCAGACACTTATGCTCACTAATAAGACGGAGGGTTTTCAGGTTTATCTGAAAACCTTACTCCACTGAGGATGTGGGATTCCTGTATAAAGTCGCCTGGGATTTATTATGCTTTCCCAAAGAGGAAGGGGGCCTAAATTTGGTGGACCCGCGAAGAAAAAACATGGCAATGTTAGCCCGGTGGGCCACCAAAGCGATGTGCTCACCCGAGGTTTCACACTGGAATTCATTAGCTGAAACAATTTTGGTTGTTGATTGGAACTTAACACGTCCCTCGGACGTGTGGACTTGTTTTTTGTTGCCATCATACAAAAACCGGCAGATTAAATCTGACTTTTGGAAGGTAGTTATGAGTACTTGGAAACACTTGAAACCAAACTCATGGCTACCTCCAACAACAAAAGCAGAAGTTTTGTTGCAACCGCTATTTGAGAATCCGGCTATCCGGAAATCAGACGGTAGAGGGTTTGCTGCTGACTCTTTAAGAGACAGTTTTGGAAGAAGTTGGACCGAACGGGGAATATTGAGAATATGAGATATTTGGAACTCACTGAAAGGGCAATGGCATTTGGCAACATCAATAAGACAAGTGCTAGGCCCTGTCTGGTTTGTGGAAGAAAAATTGGTAGAACTAATTGAAGCCATTCTATCACAGTGGAAGGATATCCTGAACCCTGAAGGGGTAAACCCGCCAGGGACTTGGTATGTGGATACTCCAATTAGTTCCACCTCCCCCTTTTGGAAACTGGTTGGTTTTGAACAGAATGGTAAATGTGAATTTCAGTGTTGGGTAGGTGTTAGTCCCAACAAGCAATGCAAATTGGTACAATTGGAGAGCCCTATTCACCCGCCACTTTTGGCTAATTTGGCCCAGATTCGGATCTGAGAAATTTGCGACGAAGAGGGAAACTGTGATTGTAACGTCTTTGCCCATGGTACTGCCATTGCAGATTTGAAGGTTGACCCCAAGATGTGGGGATGGAAAGGGCAAGGCCCTGGTAGGGAGGACTTACCACTTATTTGTTATACAACCAATCAGGGTTACAGTGCTTTGAGACCTCAATGTTCACCAATGGAGGTGGCTGGGGAAA